TCTAAAATGCTGTATTGGGAATTTATTTCAAAGAAATTTGTAAAACCGTCTTCACAAAGATATCTATCTAAAAAACTGGTTCTACCAGACATACAATGGGAAAGGATATATGATAGAATATATGAAAGCACAATTGACGTAAACTTACGAATGTTCCAGTATAAGATTTTAAATAATTGTCTTTACCTGAATCAAAAACTTCAGTCCTTTAAACTAGTAGACTCTGCTAAATGCAGTTTTTGTTTCAACGAAAGTGAAACAATTGAACACCTTTTTGTGGATTGTCTTGAAACAAGAAATTTTTATTTTAAATGTAAAAGTTGGCTCAAACAAAATGAGATCAACTTCCCAGAACTTAACTTTAAAAATATCCTGTTGGGCTCTGACAGTGGTATCATGGAAAATATGTTGTTGTTATTGTTTAAACGTTTGTTATATGTAGCAAGAAATAAGTTTAAAGTTCCCACTTTAAAAGAATTTCAACATCAATTAATATTGCAAGAAAAAGTTGAATACATCATAGCCGAAAGTAAGTCTAAAATATTCAAGCATTTAAAGAAATATGAAAAGATAAATGCTTTACTGAAAAAAACGGACCTTTGTTAATTTATTAATTTATCTTTGAATTAATATATTTAATAATCTTATATATAAATTGTAATTAATTTTGTAGTCTATTCCTAGTCACAGTGTATTTTCTTTTGTTTTACCTTCTTTTGTATTGTACCTTGTAACGTGGATTTATTTCAATAAATATGTTAAAAAAAAAAATATCTGTGAGAATAGTGCAATACATGAAACTACAACATAGCTCACACACTTTATTTCTCTAGTTCGCATACATTATGCGTACAATACACAACATCCCTCCTTTTCCTATTTTTTTAACACTATTTACATGTAAACAGTTCATAACCTCAAATGAGACAAAGTTTCTAATCCGCTTGGAGAGTCAAATACTCTTTAATAACTGAGGACCTTTGGCCCGGTCACATTAACTTTCCAGTTGTCTTTGTGTCTTTCACAAGAACTTTATCTCCAGGGCTAATGTTGCTGGGAATTGCTCCCCTTCTCTGGTCTTTCTGGTCTTACTGCTTTGCCTGCGGTCCCACTCTCTGTCTCTAACACTTTTTTCCGCAACTTTCTTGTCCTGTCTAAGTTCTGGTAACTTTGTCCTCAGTTCTCTACCAAACATAAGACTTGCAGGTGTAACTCCTGTGGCAGTGTGTGGAGTAGACCTGTATGCAAGTAAAAACTTCTTGAGCTTCTCTCTCCATGCTTTTTCTCGACTTGAGAGATTTTCAAGGACTTGAGCAGGGTTCTGTTCTGTCTTTTGACTTCTCCATTGGCTTGTGGCATAAGGTTGGAGCATAAGGTTGATCCTCAATACCATGATCAGCTATATAATCCATTGTCTGTTTTTTTTTGTACTGAATGGGAATCCATATCTACAGAACATCTCGTCCAGAGCACTTATAATCTTTGGTGTCGTTGTAGAATGCATGAATCTGCTGTAGTAGTTGACTACAACTAAAATATTCTCCCCTGATGGGAGTGGTCCCATCAAATCAGCGCTATATCCTGCCATGGTCCTGTTGGAAACTCTGCACACTTCATAGGCTCAGGAGGTTGAAACGGTCTGACGACTTGGCATCCATGACATGAATTGCACAGCCTCTCAGCGTCTGAGTCTATTTTGGGCCACCATACCTTTGTTCGTAGTCGGCTCTTCGTTTTCACAATACGTTGATGCCCCTCATGTGCTAATTTAAGGATTTGCTCGTGCATTCTTTTTGGAATAACAACTCGTGAGCCTCTCATCACAAGCTTTCCTAACACGCACAGTTCATTCTTGACATGTAAATAATTTGGTAGTTTACATTCAGTCCAGTCTCCAGACTGTATATACTTCCTTATACTCTCCAGCTCGGGGTCTTTCTCAGATTTCCGTTCAACTTCTCTTGGACTTATGGCACAGGGAGTGTTCTGAGCTGCAATCAGTGAAATGAAATCCTCGGTCTCACCACTTGGATCCTTTCCATTTACCTGGACGGCATACTACATGATACCTGTATCCCTGCATCCGTAACACCCACCTCTCGATACGGGAAGACATCTTGGAGGTTCTGCTGAAGATACACTCCAAAGGCTTGTGGTCTATTTTCAGCTCAAATTCATGGCCATAAACATATATGTTGAATGACTTTTGCATGACCACACTAGCGCCTTTCTCTGTTTGAGAATATCTTCTCTCCACATCGGTCAGGTTTCTAGATGCATACGAGACTGCTCTCCATTCACCATTCACTTTCTAACTTTATTGTTTTTGGTTTGTCTTTGATTAGCGGCAATAATGATTGTCGCAAAACCAAAGAAATGCGGCTCATTCACCAATTGGGCACTTATAATCCCCATTGGTTGAATGGACGCTTTGTTTTCAGATAGGTTGTTTATCTTTTGTTCCCTTTTTAGCACCTTTATTGTTCTTTTGTTTTACACTTCCTTTGCTTTTTTGTTTATTTCAAGTTACCATGCCTACTTTGCTCCTATTGGTCTATTTTCCTTCCTTACTATATAAACTCACCCTTTACCTAGTTTCATCACTTTTACTCCGACGAAGGATTAACGTCCGAAACGTCAGTAAGTTATTTCACATACTTTTTTTACGGTGTTAAATTTATCTTTTTACACAACTGTTTCTTTAGAAACACCGACGCAGCTCACACTAATTTAATTACCGCTAGTTCTAATGGTAGCAAAGTCTGGCATGAACTTGTTGAACAAATGAACTCACCTCCGCAATGTTCTGGGGTGGTCTTGCATTCACCACCGCAGCAACCTTTTCCTCTCTGGCAGACACTCCTATTCCACTCAGCTCATGGCCAAAGTAAGTAAGCTTGTGCAGACGTAGTTGACATTTGTCTCTGTTCAGCGTTAGACCTTTGACTTTCAATCGTTGCAGGATTCGACTTTGTAGAGGTTCTTKTCATGTTCCTAAATCGCTGTTCCATAAACAATGATATCATCAGCCATGTTGGATGCTCCTGCACATCCTTGTAATACATCAGATATGACTTTCTGGTAAATCTCCGGTGCTGATGTGATTCCAAACATCAATCGCTTGTTTCTTGTGATTCCAAAAATCAATCGCTTGTATCTGCACACACCTAATTGAAGAAACTTTGTCGGGTCCAAAAAGGTCAAATCATAGAAGCTAAGACCGTTGCTTTACAGTGCACCATGTTAAACACCTTATATGCAAATGTAATCCCAATTTAGTGGTACTCAAAATCCCTTTCGGTCTTAGCTTCTATGATGTGACCTTTTCGAACACGACTACGTTTTTTCAATTAGGTGTAGACCACGGTGTGTTATAAACGTTATGATGTGACGTGACTCATCTTCTAATTCAATCTGGTGAAATCCCCATTTGAGATCTAACTAAACATATCATTGCAGCTTGAATTGCAATCAGAAGTGATTTCAGCAGTGAATGAACCAAGAACATTCAGGGGCTCTGTTTGGCTAAATGCAAACAACTTCTTTTCAGTCTTTTGTGATCAAAAATCGACATCTCTTTCATTCTGCAAATCTATCGCTTCATGAGCTCTTGCCACGTCTAATAACTCCGAAAGAACGACATCACCAGCGTTTTCCAGCAATTTCTTCCGTATTTCGTTGTCTAAACACTTGTCAATCAGTTGATCTCTGATGGAATACTCCACATTTTCAAAATCGCACGTGGTCGCCTTTTGTCAAACGGCAAACAAATTGGTCGACGGTTTCGTTGGGCTGTTGCTACATTTTCCTGAATGATTGTCTTTCGAACGGTACTCTCACTTTACTTAGGAACTGGTTATCTAGTACTTCCACACACTCACAATACGACATCTCTTCGTCTTCGGTTACAATTGAGTAGTAGACTTCTTGCAATTCGAGACCGCCATTATGCAATAACAAAGCAATCTTTTGCTCATCCTTTGTGACTCCTTTCGCCAGTAAATACAAATTGTATGCTCGTTTCCACTCGATTGCTAGCGTAGTAGGCTCTCCTCTCTGGTTGAAATTAGGCAAACCGTGCACATCAACGTTGCTGAACTTTGAACTTCCAGACGAACTCGCTGTTCATGAACCACTGACACTTTTCTTTTTACATCGAATTTAATCCTATATTTTCTTCTTCGAATCTAATCGTAATCTAATCTACATGTAATCTAATCTAATCTAATCTCTTTGTTCCGAATTTAATCCTCGTCGCCAATGTAATACTCCATGAAACTACAACATAGCTCAACCATGTCGAGTACTCTAATGTAGCTACCATTTTCAAATTCAATGTTGACCTTTTAATTGGACTGGCCAGATTCCTGGAATTTCCTTGAGCGCTGTAGGTAGGTGGTCTTTGTTGCACTTTGTTAGATAATAGAAAGTGAATTTGTTGTTTTTGATGTTGAAATGAATTTCTTAGGGCCTTGTACTTTTCGATATGTTTAAATATGAGTATTAGACTGTTTTAGTTACATACAGTTTCACATGTGACACACCCTTTTATAGTATATATATACGTTGTTAATTACTGGTTCATAAGTCACATGGCAATTAGAACATTGGAAATGACCCTTTTCCGTCCAAAATTCTGGGGAAATTTTAAAGGCTAACTTTGAAACAGTCGCTCAAAAATGTTTTCATGAACGCCAACTGGAAATATAAATGATTCAGAAAGATAATCGAGACAATTTTGTATGAGTGTTCAAACTCTAGAGCACTTTCGTACTGTCTAAGCCTGAGCTTTGGTTCATACGAAATTATATTATATAATTGTCGATCCAAAGGACGTTTCAGGTCGTCTATCCAGTTTACAACTTATAAATACACATCGTCAAAGCAACTCTTTTCTAAACATCAATCCTGAGATTCACTCACAAACAAGTTCCTTTTCGACTTACCTCGATCGATAATGGCTTTTGACAATCTATGCAGGTTACGCTCCTGGGCACCCAAGATGTTTGAGAAATCATGTGCATTGATCACAAGACCTACACAGTGAGGTCTTTCCGCAAGTGAAGGGCATGGAATGTACTTCGGGTTGTCAGTTGATTTGAATTCTTCGCCAGAGTGAAACTAAAAAACAAACATCACTCACCATGTGGTCAACAGCTTTCAATCTGAAAGTAACATTCACTAAAATGTTCTCGAAGGTGCTTATACAAAGAATTCAGGCTTTTCAGTGTTTATGTCGGGACGGAGCTCAGAAACTGAATATACTCTACCTGATAACCATTCAGTACATGTCCATCAACTACTTTCAGTATATTCCTGATATCAACATCACTGCCGTTTACATCCATACCCATAATGTCGCCGATCCTGATGTTGGGGTTGTGTCTGAATGGATACATGTTGAACTGAAAACCCAAATATTACCTCTCTGTCATATGTCATAACATGTCATAAACTTTTTGTGATAAATAAAAAATGTTATTATTATTCAAAATCTTTGAAAAGATTTACCTCTTTAGTAAAACTTTGCCCAGTTTTCCCGGAAGCTGCTGTAAAAGGACGGATACAGCCGCTAAGGGCGCTGTTAATACTGTTGTAAAAGCAAGACTTTCCTGCTCCGATTTGCCCAGTGAGAATAATATTGAATGTCTGCACATCAAACTGCTCTGGTTTAAGATCCACAATCTTGGACCTCATCTCTTTTCTCGTGCTGTGATTAATTTATTATAAAAATTTAATATAAAAATTGTGAATTGAGTTGATTAGGAATAATTTTAGCTCAAGGTGAATGAATACGATTGGATAATATGAATTGATATGAATGACAAGTTTAGTCAAGGTTACTATATTTTGCAATATATACGAATGTAAAACTAGCTAAGACTAGTTATACCAGTATAATGATTGTGAAATAACCTTAGAACAAAACACGAGTATATGATTGTAATAGTTAGATACACATGAGTTATTCAAGAATAAAAGTGTTCTGTGAAGAAAGATTTGTATTGTGAACATCACCAAGCAGAATCCGGTCTGCACATGAGAAAATGGATATAAAGTGGCGAAAGTTGCATCCTATTTTTGTCGAACATTTTATCCAAGTTACGTTTCTAGATCCGCACCTTTGTAAGTATAACAAAGAAAATACAATATACATGTTAAATTGAAATAAATAAAGGAACTGAACTCTTTTGCTTTGATTTTGCGTTTTAGTAGCCTATACTTCACCATAATAGTTACTATTAAACACTGACTAGTAGAAATTGTTTCACAGACGGATGAAAATGACTCTTCTTCGAAGTTAGGAAAAAACAGCTGCAGTACGATGCGAGCCGTTTATTTCTTTCTTTACTTTGTCGAGTCAAGCAGTTCTTGGAATCGAAGTTGGTAGTATTTTAGGAATTTGAGGACGATGATAGTGCATAAAGCACACTAAGATCGACTAAAAAAATAAATCAGCAAGATATAACCTTTTAAAAGCATAATTTCAAACTATTTGAATGATTTGCGATCTGTTTTAGCGATGTCAGAGCAAAAATCTCATGACATTTCCATTATTCACCCAATAAATATTGAGTTAATTTTTGCAAATGACTCTATGTCTTATAAACGTCATATACCTTTTATCCCATCCCTCGATTTGTCTCCACGGCTCGTCTAGGAATGCAGGTGGTTTTGGAGGTGGTGGTTTTGGAGGCGGTGGTTCGGGTGTAGATGGAAACTAAAGTAAACAAAAATACCCTTATTGCATTTCTACTTAATTTTCATCAATTTGACTAAATTCAATAGTTCATCTTTGTCTGCCTTCGGTGAAAGCCATGCATCACAACCGTAAATTTCAATCAATTTTTACAGACTACCAATGATGGGAACCAATACTCCATCCCTTGTGTGTTCGTCAAATAAAATAGGTTTCAACAGATCGACGGATCTCTATTTGGTCTTGTGAAGCTTTGCTTTGGTTTTTTGCTGTAAACTTAAGTTGTGGATCACAAGAATTCCTGATCAGATTGGTGCACGATAGATCGTATACAAGTAGTTCTTGGAAAAAGCATAACGCGGCGTGCATGCTCAGCGGATTTCATGTGACGTCACCAAAAATATTAAATCTCTCATATCCATCGTATTGCAGTGCAAGCTTTATAGGTTATAACCAAGTGTTATAGAGAGAATTGAGAACAAAAATTACTTTGTATAATTCTTCGGTTCTCGAGAAATCAATTCTAGAGTTGCAGTCACGTAACGCCGTTACGGGATTATGGAAATCAATTTCATTTTCAATTTTAGTTTCACTTTCAATTTCAGTTTCAATTTCAGTTTCAATTTTAATTTTTGATTTAATTCAATTTCAATTTTAACTTGTTCCTTTTATATCTCCTGCTTTCGGCACTTCGGCCTTATTCAGAAAATACAAATTACGGCACAAAGTGAGAGGCGTATAACCTAGGCAGTTTTGTTACATAGGTAAGCACACTTATCATATAGTTTTATATTAGTTTTATCAACAATTTCAGACTTACGTGTACATAATTATAGTATAGTATTTGATATTTTATACTAGTTCAGAAGGATAAAGGTATATTTCCCACACGTGACCTCTCACTTGACAACGGTTGCTATCCCCATTACTGTGTCCCCCGAATGTAAACAAACAAAGAGATGCATGGTAGAGTACAACAAGGGGCCGTTTGGCGTGCGCATGCGCCAGTCTGTTGAAAATTCATTGAAATTCATTAGTGATTCACTTAAAGCGAGAAATTACAACGACACGAAGGACAATTTCCAAAAACGTTTTTGGCTGTTTTTGACCCTGAAATGACTCAAGAACACTCATAAATAGTGTAACCTACAACGAGGAAAAACACTGGCGTTATTGGACTGATTGGGACCGTTTAAAATCTTATTTAAGAAATGTTGATATTAATGACTTTGTCTTTACAATATGGAGGCTGCAGTGGTTTATATACGCAACTACTATTCCAGTTTTTGCTGAGTGCTGGTCAAGATTCAACGCAGTTCATGAAGTAAATGGTAAATGTACACATGTAGTAATATAATTAGGCATCGTTTAGTAACATCGACCTCGAAATGTTCGAAAGACAGTTTCTTGAAGTGTACAATATTTACGCTTAAATATTATTAATTATTATATATCAAGTGTCAAAGTTCACTTTTCCTAGTATCTTATTGGTCGAGAGTGTACCACGTGAAAGTCACAAAATTTTACTGTTTCCCGGCAACTGTCCTCCAGCGGTCAATAATATGTTGTGGACCGTCAATAAGTACAAAATCGCAGAAAAACACTCTTCAGTGTCGTGAAAATGMCACATTTACGGACGGTGAATTCCAAAATTGTTTTGAAACATTAAATTTCGTCTACAAATAGTTATTGTATTCATTGTGTTATTACATTGATTGATTTTAGTGACATTTGACTATTTGTATTGCCATTTTTCAGTCATTTTATCAAAATCTTTAATAAAAACACTTCATTTATTTACGTTTTTTGCTCTCTTTGACACTTGATATGATAATTAAGCACTTATTTACTGGAAACCTCGGGAAACAGTATGTTTTGCGGTCCCTCGACCGCTGATGTTTCCCTCAGCTTCGCTTCGGGAAACATCAGCGGTCTCGGGACCACAAAACATACTGTTTCCCTCGGTTCCAGTAAATAAGTGTTAACTGTTACATTAAATACTACTTTCCTTTTATATACCACCAGGACACATTAGAATAAGGCTACCAATATCAAGACGTATGCTTTGCAAATGGTTTGATAATGTTTTCTTGTCTATGAAAAATGTGGAACGGTGTTAATTCTGCAAATTCTTACGTGCTGTTGAGCATGCACTCACGACAGATTTAGCATTCTTTTGGCTGAAGAGTTGAGCTTGTTTGAATCAAGTTATCATAAATATCTATGTGTAGTTCTATAGCTGTCTATCATAAGTTATGAAATAAACTATTGCAGTGCAATCGATTCACATCTTAGGAATTTATTATAGCTAAAGGTGTGCACAAATAATTCACTACATTTTAACGGTACAAAGTGGCTTCGTGTTATAAATCTAGCCCGAGACTCACAGTAATTTATATAAAGTTTGAAAGATGTTCGTATGTGTTACAATATTGTCTTAATGACGTCACGATTGTGTAATTAAGTATAGGTTACATGCTTGAATAAAGCAGCATATCTTACAGTGCATGAACGCGTGAACACTTCTTGAAACAGTATGCATTGCCGTATGCAATGCTCGAAGCTTACCATGAACCCCTCTCATTGCAGACTCAATGTCAGCTTCAATTCTCGATGCCACTTCACAGAAAACCACTACTGGAGTTAGAGAGTCATCTGTTCTCCAGACCATCTCGCTGATTTGCGATGTCTGGATTATTCTGTCCTCCACAGCTCGAACACTTTCTTGATCGCATCGCTTTACCAAACAATGCACTAAAGGATCAGGACTATTCCATAAATCGCTTTTCCATTGAAAGACTTGAGAAAAAATAGAAAAGAGATGTTTTACGACATAATTTGCTTTC